TCATAGAAATATTAAATGCACTCTGAGTTACATGCAGGTTATACAACTGTAAATCACATGAAATGAGGATAAATACAGTATTTACATTCAAAACAGAACTTTACATATGATAATTATGATTAAATGCAAAGATGATCTTCATAGGAAATGTAAACAAAAAAAGACAAACTTACCTGTGGAATATGTCTGTCAGAAAGGAGATTTCAAAAATGAACGCGGTCTCAACATTCACATGGCAAGAATGCATCACTGATCAGGATGTTTACTTCAGTGGTCATAGAGAAATTGAGCTTTAAACAAGAAAAGCTTCACAGCAGGAAAATCATCATAGTAAAAGAGAGAAAAAACAAAAGATAGTCCTACATTTTCTGAAAATGTAAGTTCACTTCTGAGAAACAAAAGTGAAAATGAAACTTTAATTTTACAAGTGTATGACGTCACAATGCATAGGTAAGCACATTTTTTTTTTGCACACGGCCCTAAACAAACTTGAATCGTTGCCAAAATCGTAGTAGCAGCGTTATGAATCGTAGTAGCAGCGTATATAGTATAATGTAAACACAGTGTAAACACCCCTATATTTAGGGGCTATATGTACTGAATTGACCCAGCTATCCCCCACAGGGGCTGCACTCTCTTGACCCACCTATCCCCTCCAGGGGCTGCACTCCCTTGACCCACCTATCCCCTCCAGGGGCTGCACTCCCTTGACCCAGCTATCCCCCCAGGGGCTGCACTCCCTTGACCCAGCTATCCCCCTCAGCCCCAAAAGTGCACTCAGTTGACCCAGCCATCTAGGCGCCTTATACTACTATCATTCCAAAGCGAGGCAAAAGAGCATACGGGGCTTTCTTTGACGTTCTGGAGGAGACTTTTCAGCACAACCTCTCAGACATTCTCTAGTACGTAAATAGCCTTGCTTCATGCAAATCATTTTTTTTTTATAAACTTTTATAAAACAAAAATTGGAAGATTGTGCACAGATAGTTTACCTTCAAGTCGCAAACAAATCAATATTTTTCTTTTGATTTAAATTAATTTAACTTTCAAATATGCAATTGAAGACTTTTAAACTGCAAAGAGTCAATTACTTAGTACTTTTCAATTAACAATAAAAAGATTCCTGAAAAAATAATCAACTTACATGATTGAATTTTGTAGTCCAGGGGGCAAGAAAGATTTATTTGAAAACAGGAAGTCTGAAAGGTTTCCTTTCATAAAGAGTGCGTCGGCGACAGTGGAACCAAACAGAGAAATTGTGAAACCCCCGCTGATGCGGAGTATGTCAGCAGAAGTTAGGCGAGAACCCGTGGAATCGATCAGCGAGTTTCAGGAACAGTCCTTTACGTGTGAGCTACCCCTGGAGGAAAAAGATTTCCAGAACTTATCCATTGTAGACGAAGAGTTCATCTTACCAGAGAGTAAGAATAAGTCTCTTAGGCACATTTATCCTAGCCATGCTTACAGGAATTCTGAACTTGTACTTTCATGAAGTTATTCCTGTCGACAAATGCCTCTTCGGAGCTTTTTTCATAGAATGATCTAAATTGTGTTCTACATTTGAAAGGGAAATGTGAATAGTAATAGCTCAACGTTTCCCTTGTGAACTTTATCACTAGCTTACCTTAATGAATTCATATATGGTATCCGAGATTTTAGAATTTGTTCTTATTGTGTCAGAATGGCCTTCAGAAACGGAGCATGCCCAGTCATTAAATTTCAAAGTCCACAGATCTCGAAGTTCATCAGCTCTTTCTAGCCTTAATGTGGTATGTATATTCCATTTCTTCTACCCTTTTTCCACTTTGATAACTGTAGATAAAATCCGTCCATATTAACACGTATTCTTTTGACAGTCCCCTAAGTCGGAGGTCTATCCTATGGTGAAGAAACCTCGGGGAAGATTAGTCATCATCAACAACTTCAAATTTGGCAGACAGGAAGTGGACGTAGAGAGAATGGGGAGATCCCAACAAGATGCCACTAGTTTGGATTTGCTCTTCAAACAACTTCATTTCCGAACAAAACAACACAGCAATCTAACATTAGAGGTGCTTTATTATTTTTATCAATCATGTACTAGCCTTTTTGTGTCCCAAATATGAATATACCTCAACGGATACATCCAGTTTTTTTTTCTCGTGACAATTTTTTAAAGTAAAATGTCTGCTTGGAATTCAAAATTTGATATCTCTCGGTAGGAACTTTCTGCCGTACTGGAGAAGGAGCGAACATGTGACCACGCCTCAGTTGAGTGTTACGTAATGGTCGTTATGTCACGTGGTGACGGAGACCACATCTATGGTGTGAATGGTTATAAGATATGTATAGACACCATCATTTCAATGTTTGACGATGAACATTGCAGCAGTCTAAGAGGGATTCCGAAGATATTTATTTTCCAAGCATGTGATGATGGTTCGTACATCCAACATTAACTAAGAACTAACTATATACATGTATACTATATGCACGCAGAGACGTAGCTATCATTGTTACGTGTCTGATGCATTTATCTTCAATGAAATACAACTTAATAGGTCTTTTCTTTTCAGCAAAATCCAAATCAGTGGATGAAATAAAAACGGCTACCGAAAACCTGACATCTATGGTATCTTCTTCAACGACGTCTGACCAAGCTGTGAACATGAGGGCCGACATGTTCGTTGTTAGGGCAACGCAAGATGGTAGATACGGTGTAGTCACGTTAATCTTCATATTAATTTGAACAAAACGAATTTTAATGGAATTCATAATTTCAAAACCATCAATTTTTCAGTGGCAGTGGATTATCATGGCGTGTTTGGCTCCAGATTTATACAGTCTTTTGTATATCTCATGCGCAACTTAGCATTCAAAGAAGACTTCGAAGAAATTATTAAAAAGGTATCCTAGAAAAATCAAGGATCACAAAGATTCTTTTGACTTTGCTCTTATTGTCTTATTGTACTTATAATGTACCATTCACTATACATGTGTACCTCTAAAATGTTTACCATGTTTTGATTTACAGATAAATCTTCTGAATTCGGTCAGTGAGCCAGAGATAGTGGAATATGCCAGTTCATTTTCAAGAAAACTGTTTTTTAATCCTTGACCATTTACAATCTGAGACAGAGGACATGCTTTATGTATTTCATTGGAGTGAATGATTTGGTGTGTTGTGACTTCAATGAATTTTACGTCCATACAGACTACACACATCACAGTTTTATACTAAGTGCAATATCATTTTCCTTTTATTTATAGGTATCTCTCAAACGGTATTGTACAATTAAATGAAATTGTAGCAAAAGATATTCAGAAACCCTGTGTATGCATTTTATATTTTGAATACATTCTTTAAAAAGGTTCGGAGAAAATATTTAACAGACTCAACAAGCTTAATTTCTTGCACTGTATTCACAGCAAATGCAAAAACACTTTTACATTTTAAAGGGGGTTGTTGTGGCCATTTTTAGATCATTTTCACCTCCTTTAGAAGAAGAGCTCCATATAAAGATATACAAAAATGATCAAATTTTAAAACTAAAATGTATGAAATTTTTCTTTGCCAAATGATAGTTGACAGCTTAAGATATCATATCTAAAAAATTAAGTTATATCTGGTGGTTAATTCATTACCCCCAGCCTTCTTAACATATAATACAGTAAATGAGAAGATATGTGACATTACATAGGTAACCAACAATTAGTAAACCAGTCTCTATACCACTCAAATCAAAAGGACACCCACATAGGCATGTTTATCTTAATGTAAACATAATTAATAACACAGAAAATGTGTGTAGTAAAGATGACCTTTCATACTGACATAAAAAACGAAATGTTTTATCAGCATCATCTGCACTGGGTACTAACATCCCATGTATTACAGCTCTGGCATTGCCTCCTTCACTGGATGTTTGCTCTAAAGTACAGATTGCATTTTGGGGATGTTGAAGCAAAATTATTGTAAAATGCACATTTTCCATTCCACCAAGGACCATATAAAGCAGTAGACAACTTTTGTGTAAAGAAATCCATGTAAATTCCTAATGGAAACCATCTTTCTGAAACACATTTGGAACAGAATCCAATACTGCTGATAAAGAGCCTGCTACTGTCCAAATATTCCTTCATCCACTACACAGAGTGACGTCAGAAGATTCCGGAAGTCCTCTGGGGTCCAGGGGGTAGTGCTGACAGGGACAGGGTGATGACTGCTACTCTGGGGGCTGAAGGGCAACAAAATAGGGGTGTGTACAAAATAATTTGATGAAATCAAATTATAAAAGCAATGGAATCTGTTTCAAAATACTGTATACAGGGAAATTTTCGCTCCCGTTTTATTTTCGCCCCTTTCGCCCTATCCTCATTTGGGCGAATTTTAAACGGGGCGAAATGAAATACATTGTATTACATATAATTTCTGTAATAAAATTATGAATGGGCGAATTTAAAACTGGGCAAAATTGTTTGCAAGTGTGAAAGGGCGAAAATTTAACGGGACGAAAATAACCCTGTATACAGTAGGCCAATCAACAAAGACTTCAAATGGGAAATCAAAATGGTGTACAAAATAAAGGGAATCAAAAAAAAGACATTTTGAACTAATTTATATTTCGAAAATACAATAAGTATCAATTAACTTGGACTTCATCACTGTAACATGTCATTGATGTTTTAAATATTTTAGCAAAGGTAACTTATTATGTTCCCCAAACGAAGTTGGGGAACATATTGTTTTTACTCTGTTTCTTATTATGTTCCCCAAACGAAGTTGGGGAACATATTGTTTTTACTCTGTTTCTTATTATGTTCCCCAAACGGAGTTTGGGAACATATTGTTTTTACTCGTTTTCTTATTATTATTATTATGTCGCCCCGAACGAAGTCGGGGACGACATATTGATATTGTACGCATGTTTTTTTTATCCAGGCTGTTTCTCGGAGATGGCTGGGACAATCTTCCTGAAACTTTCCTTAAAGGACGATCACTGGTTGTAGTTGTGCAGTGAGGTCGTTCAGTTCCAATATGTCTACCGTTGCCATGGAAACCTGTAAAAAGCGACAAATTTTGTCCGAGAGTGTTCTCTCTGGTCCCTTAAACGTTCGTCATGAAACTTTTCTTATTTTAATGATTAGTATCTGTAGTTCTGCAACTCGTATTTAAAATTTTCATATAATCGATTATTGCCATGGAAACCAGGTCAAAGTTAAAATTCTTTAATTTCGATTTTCTCAATAACTACTCAGGCAATCGTTTTGAAACTTTCAATGTTTATTCCTTGCAATGTGTCAAAGTGATTTCTACTTTCAAAATAATTGTAATGAGTCGCTCACGGTTGCCATAGAAACGAAACAGAAAAAAAGATTCAGATGTACACATGTGTTCTCCAAGGTCTAGGTCAAAGGGTCAAAGTTCGTCGTATCCAATAAAAGTTCTTTTCACAAGGATTACATATTTGAAATACGAAAGCCCTAGTACTTACCGTTCAAACGTTATGGCTATTTACTATGTTCAAGACGACCCCCCCCCCTTTTTTTTGAAGCACACAGCCAAGTAGAATACACAGATATAACATATACAACTTACAAGTAACTTTTTAAAATCTTCATTCATAAAATTCAGTTCCCGTCATGTGATATTTTGCCATCATTCATTCTCCTTCTGTTTTGTCTCTTGAATTTATAAATATTTTATTTTATCTATATAAAAAAAAATAACGATTGTCAGCTGCATTTATTATCATTTCGCGTTTTCTTGTATATCTATCACTTGTATATTATTCATTTCATTAGATAGTGCAAGTATAAATTAAAAAAATTGGTACGTCATTTCCATAGTTTTTATTCATTCATAAATTCTTTGATCCGCTCCTGATGGTTCGCAAAGCCTTGATCACCACTGTATACAAAACATTCATCTCGCCGAAAATGTTCATGATTCCGCTAAATTGAGAAAGTTCACACATGATTTATCATCTCATAACACACATCAGCTCTCTGCAATGCAGAAATGCTCGAATTGATGGTGGCATGTCAGATTCGTGTTTCGGTAGAACCTCTAAAATGAAAGTGAAAGAGGGAAATTTCAGAGTTCTCACTGGCGTTACAATACACAAAATAATTCGGCTGATCTTCTTCATAAATTACATTTCCCAAGCTTTTATCATAGGAAAGATACTGCCAATTAACAAGTATGAGGCTCAGTTCAGTACATCTGCCAGATTTCTTTTATGCAAGTCTGCAAATTGAGGAACTTGTAATTTTCCTGCACTACTTTCTTCTCCTACCGATTCTAAAAATAATGAGTGGGATGTACCGAATTAAGGTCTTCCGTTTCCAATGGAAAGGACTGATATAACTCAATGGTTGTTCAAACTTAGCTTATGGACTTTTGTTTTAATGATGATAAAAATTAAAGTCTTGTCTAATACGGGGCGACATATGCTATTGCTTGCAATAGCAGACTTTCTAGTTATTAAGGTCTTCCGTCTTCAGCGGAAGACCTTCTTGTTATTCTTAGGTTTCTTTTCCACTATTTTTATTAAGGTCTTCCGTCTTCAGCGGAAGACCTTATTGTTTTTCTTCGGTTTCTTTTTCACTTTTATTATTATTATTTTTTTTCTTACCGATTTTGTGCACGCGATTTCTCGAAAACGGCTCAACAAAATCTTATGAAACTTTCAGGACGTATGGAACATCACTTGAACCTTATGCGTTTTTTTCCGTTTCGATGACGTCACTTCCGGTCTAGAGATATCGTCGATTTTCTGATTTTTAAGGGTCATTTTGTCCACAATTTTCCCGAAAAACGGCTCTAGTTATTATTATTATTATTGTTTTTTTTTCTTACCGATTTTGTGCACGCAATTTCTCGAAAACGGCTGGATAGATTTTCATGAAACTTTCAGGACTGATAGAACATCAAACAAACCTGATATATAATTTTTTGTTTTGATGACGTCACTTCCGGTTTTGAGATTTCCGCGATTTAGTGATTTTCAGGGGGTCTCATTGTCCATCATTTTTCTCGAAAATGCCTTAAGACAGAAACATGAGATTTTCAGCGATGATAGAGCAACGTGTGCTCTTTTGTCACACACCACTCTCTTTCTCCGGAAGTGCCGCACGTCGGCGCTCGCTATGGGCTGAAAAAAGTCCTATCACGAATTGCAAAATTTTTGACACTTTTTCTACGATATCTTTTTACCTGGAAATATTTTGTTAAAATATGTAGAACAAAAAAAGTATAGAATTCCAAGATCTTTCAACTGATACCTCGGAAAAAGGGCTCGCCCCTTAAATCAGGGGCTGAGAGGGGCCGAAAGTTTTTTCTTTATATCTCAAAAAGTATTGAGAATTTGTAATACGTCAAAGAAGCAAAGTTGTTCAAAATTTCAAGCTTAATTTTTTGGAGTCGTCAAAATACGTCCGGTGACGTCACTTCCGGCCAAACCGGAAGTAGTCGGAAAACGCGGTTTTTTGCCGTTCTCGACAAGATTTTGGGTTACATTTGTCTCTGGGAGCATGAAAAGTAATTTTTCCGTCCGTCGTCGTCACTTCCGGTCAAACCGGAAGTAGCAAAAAATGGCTTTTTTGAAGGTTTTGGTGCAAAATTGAAATTATAAAGTCACTGGAGACTACTTAGCTCATTGCTTTATTTTGTTCCGTCATTTCCGGCACTTCCGGTCAAAACCGGACGGAAGACCTACTCGTTGCTTTGCAACGAGCTTTGCTCTAGTTAAGGTCTTCCGTCTTCACGGAAGACCTTATAGTGATTCTACTGTTTCTTATTATTATTCTTATTATTCTTTTTTTTGACAAAATTTTGTGCAGGCGATTTCTCGAAAACTATTCAGCGGTTTTTCACGAATCTTTCACAAAACATGTGTCATTATATGAAGTTGTTACATCCGAAGAGAAATTTGGAGAATTCGCTTCTGGTGCCAAGTTATGGACAATTTCCTGATTTTAAAATGCGATTTTGTCGCCCCTTTTTTTCGAAAATTGCTAAGGATATGAACTGGAGACTTATTGGAGATGATAGATCATGACTTTGTGGTTTGCAGAATCGCCTTTTCGTACGTCGTCAGTACTTCCGGTCGTAACGAATTGCAAACTTAAAAAATTCGTATTTTCTAACTTTTTTGTTTTTCAGTATTTTTCATTTATATTTGGTATGGTAATAGAAGCCCTCTGTATAATGCTTACTATTTAATTTGTTTGAATGTTAATAAATCTAAACTCTAGATATTAGCATTCAAAAATCTGAAGCGGGTCCAAAATGGCGGCTGTCTCTTTCAACGCCGACATTTCGCAATTGTGGTTTACGGAGGCAGCCGAGCGTTTGCTTGAACGAAAGTAACATAAGACTAAATGAAATGTAAAGGAATACTTGGATTGTCACGTCGTAGTTTCGTTGCAGTTCTGTGTCAAACTAACGTCTTCTATAATTGGTTTTGGCTGGTTTTCAAAGTAGGTAAACAAAAGACGATTGTGCAAAATGTGCAAATGAAATTCGATACCTAATATCTTTTGTGCATTACGAAAAAACTTATAAGTAATACTTTCTCAAAAAGAATATCAATTAATATTGTCAGTATAAATCTTAACCACTGTTTTTTCCTATGCACACTTGTGTCATATTAAACTAATAAATAAGACAAAATAAGAAATGATTTTTTTTTTTAAAGATCGCTTCATGGAGTTTATTTGAGCATTCTTGTTTCAAAGACCTGATTCAAGTTATTGAGCATAAATGATTTCTGATTCCTTGACCATCAAAGGGCGAGCCATGTATTTCGGCGAAACGTTTCAAACTTTTTCAATTAACTAATCGGGATAGTTCAGTTTGGGGATAAGCAGGAAATTGAAGGAAAAAAAATTCATAACCGTTTCACCGCTTAAGTGTTACATGCATATATACAATATGGAATTTTTAAAATGTGTTATATCTACTTTCTAAATCTCGAATCTTAGGCTATAAGAACGTTCTTTTTTTAATTTCATTGAAGCTATCACACATATTTAATAGAACATCCCAAAGAAAAAGCGCGAAGATTAACTCGTGGCGTTTGGCGCTAAATTTTGAAAAATGACCTGCCTTTCATAATTTTAAGAGAGAAGCATATTCGTTTATATATACAAGTAGATTTAGAGTAGAGGTCCCGATAGCGTAATATTTAGTGCGTTGGAATTTCATGCTAGCGACTTGGGTTAAATCCTCCTTGTTTGCAAATCTATTTTTACTTTTTCAGCTCGATTTTACGTCTTCTTTCTGGAATCGGACGGAAGACCTCTCGTTGCTCGCAACGAGGTTCATATCTAGTTCTTATTATGTTCCCCAAACGAAGTTGGGGAACATATTGTTTTTACTCTGTTTCTTATTATTATTATTATTATTATTATTATTATTATTATTATTTTTCTTCTTCCTGGGAAAATTTTGTCCACGAGTGATCTTGTAAACTACACATCCGACTTAGGTGAAACCTTTTTAGGGTCAGTAGGCATGTTATGTAGAGTTGCCAAACAAAGGTCATGTTGCGCGCACGTGCTTGCAAGAGCGCGCACGTGCAACATGTGAAATTACCAATATAATGGATATTGCCGTAACTTTTCTATTTTATGATGAATTTTTTTGAAACTCATAATGTAAGGATACATTAGTAGTATAGACAAGATAGCATGGTCAAAATAACAAGATCTCACGCGCATGCACGTGCGCTTGCCTCTGATTGGCTGAAATTAAAGTCTCAATAACTTTCTTGTTTCTTGTCATAATTCTTTGAAATTTTGAACATAGTCCTACATTATGAAGATCTACCACATGATATATAAGAATTTTCATGAAAGCATGCGCATGTGCGCGTGCTGCAAGCTGATTGGCTGAAACTTTAAATGGCAATATCTCCTTTGTTTTTTGACGAAATTCTTTGAAATTTAAAATATAGTCAGGCATTAGGATATCCTACAAAATGATATAGAAAAAAAATCATGAAATCACGCGCATGCACGTGTGCTGCAATCTGATTGGCTGAAACTTTAAATGGCTATTTTTCCTTTGTTTTTTGACGAAATTCTTTGAAATTTAAAATATAGTCAGGCATTAGGATATCCTACAAAATGATATAGAAAAAAATCATGAAATCACGCGCATGCACGTGTGCTGCAATCTGATTGGCTGAAACTTTAAATAACTATTTATCCTTTGTTTTTGGACGAAATTCTTAGAAATTTAAAATATAGTCATGCATTAGGATATCCTACAAAATGATATTAAAAAAATCATGAAATTACGCGCATGCACGTGTGCTGAAATCTGATTGGCTGAAACTTTAAATGGCTATAACTACCTTGTTTTTCAACCAAACAGGATGGGATTTAGAACATAGATAGATGTAAGGGACTCCTACAAGAAGGTATTATCATAATGCACGTGCACGCACGTGCGTGCATTTGAAACGAGTATATTTAAAAATACTCTTGAATGAGTGATTTTTATTACTTTTGGACTGAATGCTCTAATATATAGTATATTGAAATATATAAGTAGTGTAGACAAGATGATATGGTCATAACGCACATGCATTCACATGCGCTTGGGTGCAATGCTAAAAATTGAATATAATTGATATCCTTCTGGGAAAACATTGTTAAAGTCAAAAATGCACAGAGTTTGTCTTATTTAATGAAGCTTACAGGGGATATGGCACCGAAAGGGAGTTGGGGAGCGTTTGGGGAACATCTGTAACGGTTCCCGTTACAATTAGCACTAGTTATTATTCTTTTTTTTCTTCTTTGTTCTCCGGTACTTTTTTTGTCCGCGAGTGTTCTCAGAAACTGTTCACCCAACTGAGCTAAAACCTTTTTAGGGTTAATAGGTGTGTAGTGTAGGTGTGCAACACGAAGGTTATTTTGCGCGCATACGCATGCACGTGCGGGCGCGTGAAATGAGTGAAATGACGGATATACTTTATATAGCCATAACTTTTACATTTTTTGATGAAATGCTTTAAAACTCATTTAATAAGGATATATTAATAGTGTAGATAATGTGACACTGTCAAATTAGCACGAACTCACGCGCATGCACGTGCGCTTCGCTCTGATTGGCTGCAACAAAAATCTCAATATCTTTTCTGTTTTTTGACGAAATGCTATGAAATTTAAAATATAGGCATACTTTAGCATGTACTACAATATGATATATAACAATTGTCATGTAAACACGCGCATGCACGTGTGCTGCAATCTGATTGGCTTAAACTTTAAATGGCTATAACTCCCTTGTTTTTCAACGAAACAGTATGGGATTTAGAACATAGATAAACATAATGGACTCCCACAAGGAGGTATGGTCATCATGCGCATGCATGCACGTGCATGCACGTGTGCTTTGCTGTGATTCGCTGAAACAAAAATCGCAATATCTCTTTTTAATTAATGCTTTAAAATTTTAAACATAATCATGCATTAGGATGTCCTACAATATGATATATAACAGTTGTCGTGAAAACATGCGCATACACGTGCGCTGCAATCTGATTGGCTTAAACTTAAAATGGCTATATCTTCCTCGTTTTTCAACCAAACAGGATGGGATTTAGAACATAGACAAACATAACAGACTCCTACAAGCAGATACAGTCGACATGCACATGCATGCACGTGCGTGCACGTGAAATGAGTAAAATTACAAATACACTAGATTAAAAGGTATTTTTTAATTCTTTTGGATAAAACGCTGTAATTTCTAGTATATAAAGTGTCGACAAGATGATATGGTCATTACGCACATGCATTCAAATGCGCATGCGTGCAATGCATAAATTTGAATATACTGAATATACTTCTGGGAAAACATTGTTATAGTCTAAAAGGCATAGAGTTCGTCTTATTTAATGAAGCTTACAGGGAATAAGGCACCAAAAGGGAGTTGGGGAGCGTTTGGGGAACATCTGTAACGGTTCCCGTTACAATTAGCCCTAGTTATTATTATTATTATTATTTTTCTTCTTCCTGGGAAAATCTTTTCCGCGAATGATCTTGTAAACTACACGTCCGACCTAGGTGAAACCTTTTTAGGATCAGTAGGCATGTTATGTAGATTTGCGGAACGAAGGTCATTTTGCGCGCACGTGCTTGCAAGAGCGCGCACGTGCAATGCGTGAAATGACCAAAATAATAGAAACAGCCGTAACTTTTTTATTTTTTGATTATATGCTTTGATACTCATAATATAAGTATATATTAGTAGTATAGACGTGTTGACATAGTCAAAATAGCAAGATCTCACGCGCATGCACGTGTGATTTGCTTTGATTGGCTGAAACTAAAGTCTCAATATCTTTCTTGTTTTTCGTCACAATACTTTGAAATTTTGAACTTAGTCACACATTATGAAGATCTACAGCATGGTATATAATAATTTTCATGAAAGCACGTACATGCGCATGTGTTGCCAAGAGCGCGCACGTGCAACATGTGAAATAACCAAGACCATGGATGAAGCCGTAACTTTACTTTTTCTTGATGGAATTTTTTGAAACTCACAATGCATGAATATAGTAGTAGTATGGACAAGATGACATGGTCAAAATTGCAAGATCTTACGCGCATGCACGTGCGCTTTGCTCTGATTGGCTGAAACTAAAGTCTCAAAATCTTTCTTGTTTTACGTCGTAATCCTTTGAAATTTTGAGCTTAGTCACATATAATGATGATATATAAGAATTATCATGAAAGCACATAAATCCACGTGTGCTGCAATCTGATTGGCTGAAACTTTACATGCCTATATCTTTCTTGTTTCTCAACAAAACAGGATGAAGTTTAGAATATGAATAAGTATTATGGATTCCTACATGATATTGATATCAAAATTGAATGCAAAGGACGTGCTTGCATGCACATGCGCACACGCAATGCGTAAAAATGAACAATATGTTTAAAAAACGCTAAAATTTATATTTTTATGACTTTTAATTGATTTCTGGAATATAAAGATATGTTATTGGTTTAGACACATGTCATGATCACCTTGCATGTGCATGCACGTGCATTTGCGAACAATGCGTGAAATGACAAAAAGTTGATATCATGGTAGCTTTTAAATTCTTTTTATGAAATCCTGCGATACTAAGCATATTGAAAAAAGTTTTAAATTAAATTTGCACAAAAAGGGAGTTGGGAAGCGTTTGGGGAACATCTGTAACGGTCCCCGTTACAATTAGAACTAGTTATTTTATGCATTACAATAAAATATGTTTAAAGATTCAAAGAAACTGTTCATCTGAAATGGTCCAATTCATTTAGTCAATTGAGAATCTTTGTACAAGACACTCTCATCAAGTTACAGCTACATCTGAACATCAACCTATAAAGTATTTGTGTAGCATCGTAACATATATATATATATAATTCACTTACTTGATAGATGAAGGATTGTTGAAGGTCACCAGTATATCTGAGGTAAATTTAGAGATACGAAAAAGACCAATGTGCATGTCTACTGTGTTTTTAGCTGCCTCATTAAATTTGGAGACATTCTGTTGTCCTAGGACATAATAGGCATTGTCACACCTAAATAAAAAACATTAAAAATTTCAATCTTTCCATGTAAATTATCATTATATCCTTTCTTACCAGATATCTGAAACTAAGAACCCGCAGGTTGATTTTATAGACATGCAGTTTGTGACTTACTGCGTCATTTTAAGATCAGTGTTAGGGATTTCCTCAATCTGTACAATAGCAGCATCTCCACTCTGCACGTCATTGTCAGAAGCCAGGTCACTAAAGTGGGTCCTGTAAAACAGGCATGACAATGAAAATCCTGAGAGTTCATACTAACAATAACACATTGTTACCTTTGAGGAGTACAGTTAAACACCATGGATCCATCCAAAATCCAAACTAAAAAGGGCCCAATTAAGAAATCTTTAAATAGCTCAGTGCACAGGTCTATTAAAAACATGTACAATTTTATCTGAAAATTTAATATTTTTTATATCTCAGCTATAATACATGATTAAGACCATGTCTGTCTGAAAGCAACATCATTTCATACATCATTCCATCAGCTTTCTCCTCATAATTGTATATTTCAGAAACTCAAGGTTGATTGAGATATTCTGCTTAGTGACTGGTTAACTGACACTATTTTTTGCAGGAATACTGGTACATAAATACTGAGTTACTGATATTTTATTGCTGAGTTACTTACACTTTATTGCTGAGTTATTGACACTTTATTGCTTAGTTACTGACACTTCATTGTTGAGTTACTGACACTTTATTGTTGAGTTACTGACACTTTATTGCTAAGTTACTGATATTTTTCTGTTGAGTTACTGACACTTTATTGTTGAGTTACTGACACTTTATTGTTGAGATACTGACAATTTATTGTTGAGTTACTGACACTTTATTGTTGAGTTACTTACATTTAATTGTTGAGTTACTGACAATTTATTGCTGAGTTACTGACACTTTATTGTTGAGTTATTGACAATTTATTGTTGAGTTACTGACATTTTATTGCTGGGTTACTGAAATACACTTTATTGCTTGGTTACTGACATTAACTTTATTGTTGAGTTACTGACACTTTATTGATGAGTTACTGATATTTTTTGCTGGGTTACTGACATTATTTTATTGCTGAGTTACTGATATTTACTTTATTGCTGGGTTACAAACATTTTATCACTGTGTTACTGACATTTACTTTAATGCTGAGTTACTGACATTTTATTGTTAAGTTACTGACAATTTATTGCTGAGTTATTGACACTTTATTGTTGAGTTACTGACACTTTATTGTTGAGTTACTGATAATTTATTGCTGAGTTACTGACACTTTATTGTTGAGTTACTGACTTTTATTGTTGAGTTACCGACACTTTATTGTTGAGTTACTGATAATTCATTGCTGAGTTACTGACACTTTATTGCTGGGTTACTGATATTTTATTGCTCGGTTATTGACACTTTATTGTTGAGTTACTGACACTTTATTGTTGAGTTACTGACACTTTATTGTTGAGTTACTGACACTTTATTGGTGAGTTACTGACACTTTATTGTTGAGTTACTGACATTTTATTGTTGAGTTACTGACACTTTACTGAGTTATTGACACTTTATTGCTGAGTTACTGAAACTTTATTGTTGAGTTACTGACACTTTATAGCTGAAGTATTGACACTTTATTGCTGGGTTATTGACACTTTATTGTTGAGTTACTGACACTTTATTGCTGGGTTATTGACACTTTATTGCTTAGTTACTGACACTTTATTGTTGAGTTACTGACACTTTATTGTTGAGTTACTTATATTTTATTGCTGGGTTACTGATATTATTTTATTGCTGAGTTACTGACATTTACTTTATTGCTGGGTTACAAACACTTTTTCGCTGTGTTACTGACATTTACTTTATTGCTGAGTTACTAACATTTTATAGTTAAGTTACTGACAATTTATTGCTGAATTATTGACACTTTATTGTTGAGTTACTGACAATTTATTGCTGAATTACTGACACTTTATTGTTAAGTTACTGACTTTTATTGTTGAGTTACCGACACTTTATTGTTGAGTAACTGACACTTTATTGTTGAGTTACTGATATTTTATTGCTGGGTTATTGACACTTTATTGTTGAGTTATTGAAACTTTATTGTTGAGTTACTGACACTTTATTGCTGAATTATTGACATTTTATTGCTGAGTTACTGAAATTTACTTTATTGTTGAGTTACTGACACTTTATTGCTGAGTTACTGATACTTTATTGTTGAGTTACTGACTCTTTATTGTTGAGTTACTGACTCTTTATTGTTGAGTTACTGACTCTTTATTGTTGAGTTACTGACTCTTTATTAAGTACTGTGTTACTGAAACTTTATCACTTAGATACTGAAATTTTAATGCTTTCATACTGAAATTTACTTTATTGCCAAGTTACTTACATTTTATTGCTGGGTTACTGAAATTTACTTTTTTGCTGAGTTACTAACATTTCATTGCTGAGTTACTGGAACTTCATTTCTGGGTTACTGGTACTTTATTGTGGTTACTGACACTATACTGTTTGGTTACTTTTTACACTATATTACAGGTCTTCTGACACTTACTTAATTGCTTCTTCGTCATCTTTGTCCACATACTCCAGGATCTCTATGATTATACTCTGGTCTGTGACTGGGTGAGCAAACACTTCCTGGTTATCAGGAATCTGGCGAATGTCACTAAATAATAAAGTATAACATCATAATCTGATTTCTCGAAATGTGTTTGAAATATTAAAATACTGAAGATATCTACAGTATCTTCTTAGAAGTGTCCATTGTACAGTGTGGGCCTATACAATTTATTGCCTAGAGCAGCTGCATGTTTAAGAAAATGGTTGAGGGCATCACATCAGCAACAGCACCTGATCAATTCATCAAATTCCGAAAACACAAAAGATAACATTTGATCTAAAGCTAATCAAGATTACAAGAGACAATCTAATATTACAGAAAGCAGAATACTGTGTATATATAGTAAAACTGTGGAAATATCAAGTACTTACTCCTAACAAAATAATTTTTTTTTTGGTCCATACTGCAATTTATTTAAAAACATATTAATATATGGAAGAGGAAATATTCTGTGCCTGAAAGTTAGGGGACTACCATTTAATTCTGAGGTGGGGGTCTGGCAGATTTTGGAAATAAATAATCTGTCCCTGAAAATGTTGAAAATAAATAATCTGTCCTCCACTACAAAGAAAATAAATAATCTGACCTTGACTTATGATATTTAAATATTGTGAAAAATACATTTTATTTACATGTAATTTAATCTAAAAAATCTTCAATTTGACAATTTTTTTGGCTCGCTTCGCTCGCCCTTTTAGAACCAAATAGTATTCAAAATCAGATTACCAGACTGGATACTTGTAGTTAGTTTATCAACATGACAATGTGCACTTAGTAGGTGTGATGATTCACTTTAAATACAAGCCAATTCTTATACACCGCAAAAGACGAATTTTCTTGTTAAAGAATTATACTTCCCCGATAAATTACTACAAAATATACAATGGTGGATTTAAGGGGGACGTACATGTGTACGGCCCCTCCCTAAAATTTCAAAGTATGATACGAATAATAATTCCATACTTTGGTACAATATCAATATTTTGATGCCTAGTTTTTCTCTTTAAATACACGTAGACCAAGAGCTTCAGGGGGCTTTGCCCCCTAAGGCCTTTTCATTCAAAGTATGAGATGACTAGTATTAATAATGTCATACTTTGGCACATAACTAACCAATCCCTTCGCGTCACCCCCTTCGCGTCACCCAGGACCCAGACCTCTCCTAAACGAGGTTATACGCGCCCCCTCTCCAAATCCTGTATCCGCCTATGGTATATGAATGATTCGTCCTTTAGAATTTATTGATCAAGATACCGTAAGACGAAGAAGAAAATAAAAAATCTGTCCTTGATAATCTTGAAAATAAATAATCTGTCCTCCACAGGCATGAAAATAAATAATCCGTCTCAAAAAAATTTGCCAGGCCCCCCCCCTCAGGATCAAATGGTCGTCCCCTTATGTGCAATGACAATGTCATTTCTATCACCTGATCCCCCCCCCTTCCACCTATCTCCACCCCCTTATAGACACAAAGTCCTTAAATATTCAGTGAGATACACCTACAGATACTTATAAAACAGGGAGCTATGCAGAATGCAGTTTGGGGGTAAAAAATTAACTCAATTCAAAGAATGCTTTGTTTGCTTATACACATACTCATTCATCATAAAAAATACACTGTACACATCTCTGAATACATTAGGTAGCTGAAGAGACTTATGTACAATAGAAATTACTGTGCAAGTACAGGCATTTGCAAAGAGTGTCATAGACTCTTCCTATCTAAATTGTATTGACAAAAATTAGTCACAAAACACTATTCCTAGGCTTAGGCTACCTTATGTCCGTAGCGTTGTCTGGAAGTTGAACAATGAGGGCTCCCCCAAATAATTCCTGTACTTTCAAAGACATGTCAAGTATTCAAAATCAAAGTCGAATAGGGATTAAATATTACTAAAAGCTATTATTGGAGTACCATAGATGAAAATCTTGCACAATCGCATGTTCATGTTGATTTACTTTCAGTTTCACTTTATCTGAGGTCACTTCAACGCTTTAACCAGGGACAATATCACGAGTCATTTTCTTCTGCTTTAATCGTATTTCTTTTTCATTTTCCTACAAATATTCAAAATAAGAGTGAATGTTAATTTTATCAAATTTGAATGTACTTAATAAATAAATTGTTAGAACGGAAATTATAACGAGTTTCATTTAACTTTCTTACATGTACATGTATAAATCAATGTTAAAAGTAACAAATGATCCTGAAATCTCAGATTTTAAAATACTTTTATCCCTGTTGAGTATTTAAAAAGAAACAATCAGCTTCAAATTTTGTTATTTCCTAATGATTTTCTTTACATCACGCAGAACTGCAAGTTCACTTGTAGAAAATATATTCATACTGCATTTAATGGAAGCTGGTAAAGTTTATTAGCCCTTTTATTTATATGAAAGCAATTTCATTTAAACATTTTTTTCATATTGATAGAATTTAGAAAAAAAACAATAGGAAGACTTCAATTTTTCTTCATTTTTATTCACTGTGGAGTAAACATGCATTCATAGACATGTAAGGACTCCAAAAGTGTGATGGGACTCCCAAAGTCCGATGGTCACACCAAAGTCCGATGGTCTGCGCCAAACCACGATGGTTTGACACACCAAAATCCGACGGTGCAGAAAACAATTAACGTTTATGACGTCACAGTACTGCTGTGCCAAACTGCGATGCCGCTCGATGCCAAGTACCAATTTAAAAAAAAAAAAATACAAAACATCATAGATACAAACTATAAGACTAACCCTCATCTTTTGGATATAGGTACAATACTAACATTTATCAGTCAAAAAACGCGTAACAACTCTATAATCTAAATATCTTGGGTAGTTGCAGGGCTGATCCAAATAAGTCCAATGGTGCGCGAGGACTAACCCCTAATCTCTCGGATGGGTTCGAAGAAACATATTTGCGTTCAAAAAGTAACCCTTATCAGTCAAATTGCGTACAAGGACTAACCCTAATACCTCTGGTGGGCAAAAACAATAAACAAAATCTGTACAATTGTATGGAGACGAATACTGAATCAATGGAATTTGAATGCAGGGCAACGTCATGACGTCGGACTATTATGACGTCATTAAACGTTGATTGTTCTTTCAACCATCGGACCTTGGCGTATCAGACCATCGCACTTAAACGTTAACGTGTCTCATAAGAAACGAGCCATCGGACTTCAGTGTGACCATCGGACTTTAGAGTCCGTAAAGACGGTGAGCCATCGGGGTTTGGCGAGACCATCGGACATTGGCGTTACCATCGCACTTTGGAGTCTTACAGACATATACACACAAAAAATGGATTTGGATTGAGATCAATGCCAATGACAAAGTACAAGTGAATGTAAGTTTTCTGACAAGGAAATGAACATATACTCATCAATATCATGAATTTTATCCATGCAAACAGTTAATGTAAGTTGTAAAACAAGTATGACTACTAACATACAAAGTAATGTAGAACTATATTTCTATGAATCATGTGTGAAAGTCATTTGACAGTCACACAGTATAAAAAATTGTTGTTAGTTCATATTAAAAATTTGGCTGGGCTTTTTTAACATCCAGCAGTATTACATGTATACATGCATTGTACTTTTAAGTTAGACTTGGAACAAAACTGTAACTGTAAGGGTTTTGAGGTGTTACTATTAATTCACACAGAATTCCAGGATACACAAATAAACAACAACACCTCACAATATCTTATTCTCATACATTCATTCATATTATTAGAACAATTCATACACACAGTCTAGCACTTCCTACTCTTTGTGAATCAAAGAGCTTAACAATAAATACTTAATGTTATTGAAAAATCTGTATTATAAATAAAAGCAAAACAACAAAAATATAACAAAACAGTGCAAACATTAGGATTAAAGTCTGTAGATTCTAAAATTTTATCTCATACTGAAAAAAAAATGTAAATCTGAAGCATATTTTCATGGATTGTAAAGTTATCCATGGATTTACAGGTCAGGAAATAGGAGTGAACTGCACAACTATTTACATTTATATAATTTATTACCCCTGCTTTAGGAATCTTTGTTTAAACAAATACAATGTTTTTACGTCAAAAATTGAGGTATGGACAAATTGATTCAAATAATTTTGAATTCTTTAAAAAATTGTCCTTGTAAAAAAAAATATTGGTATGTTCTTATACATGTAGTGTCCAATCAGCACAGTTAGAATTAAGAAAAATATTTGAATTCAGAACAAAAAGAATTTGACTAACAGTCCACACTTATTCCCTTCTTTGAAATTAAAACAAAGATTTTGATACTCTGTATTAGTCTTTTATAATGTATACAACCTGTAGCAAAAACAGGAAACTGTACTTGATTTATATTGACTAAACAAACACCATCATGTAAAACGACCAACATGAAGTGATTCTGAGTTTCTACATGTGGAGTCATGTCTATAAGTTTTCTATTTTGATAAGCAGTCCATGTAACAGTACTGATCCTCTCTCCTTTGTGGCCCACTCTAACTCATTGTTGGAGAATTGTGGATCTATTTGTTCATTGAGCCCAAGACTCTGAGGTCCTACTTTATAAGAGCCAGGCTTTAACCAAACCTGAAATGCTACACGAACATGGAATGTCCTCTTGGTTCTCGGCTCCAGTAACCTGGAAATATAACATACATGTACAGTGTATTTGTAATGGACCTAAATCTATATTTATATGTGGTTCTATGACATGTACATTATATGATTAAAATTATATTGGAATTACTATATATTGTGTATTTTATTTTGATGTAATTTCATGAGTATATCCCAGGATTTATAAAAAAAAAAAAACTACAAGTACAGTAAGCACTAAGCCCACAAAAGACCTGTTAGGAGACATGAGAATTTTTCTGAGACTTACTTGAATTTGGGTGAGAACTCGTTACATCCTATGTATCGTATGGTGGGAGACATTAGAATTTGTCTGAGACTAGAACTGTCGGGACGGGATTTCTCCGTGAATGGTACTGACTGAGGTAGCAGAGTACTACCTCCTCCCATCTGATCATCTACAAACATAAACCTCTCTAACATCAAAAGGGTTACATCAGGCAGTTCATATTCAATACATCAATCAGTTTGTGGTAAACAACAGCTGATAATATACTAAGAATATGACACACAGGTAAATGCATATGTAAATTTGAAAAAAATTCATTGATCCTCTTTTATTGGAACTGTTCATTTTTTTTTTTTTATTTTCATACAGATATAAATTTATGAAAGTTTTCCTCAAACATGTTTGAAATGATTGGTTTCTGAAGCCTGACAAACAGATTAATTGAAGTTGATCTTGTTTTAATTAATAAGACCACTTTCAGATAAGGTTGTAACTGTACTCACTACAGGTGTGTATATCCCCAGTATCCAGGATTTTTCTGAGGACCTCGAGCTGTGTACCATAATACGCCACATGCCACTTGTCAGACGCCACAAAAGACGGCGCTTTCTGGCGTTGTCTACAATTTAGAATAACATTTACCATATGACATTTATATTCAATGATGTACATGAACTTAATGTATAATGATACTTTCACAAAACATGTGTATCTAGTAAATTCAATATTTTGGTTAAGTTTGATGACTTAGTGAGACTCACTTGAGAATATATCGGCACCACCCCAGGGGCACCGCATACTCCCTGGGTGGCTCCCCCCTCCTAAGATACAGATCCTCCGACCTCAGTTTATGGCAAGACTCGCAGTAACACGTCATCTGCTGTTCTTGGAAAAATCCCTCTGAAATTGGAGTGTCCAGGAAGTGTACAGTCTAAATACATGTATCTATCTTAGTCTGGTCCGATTTATCGAAAAAAATACTTCTAACGGCAAATAATTATTATTTGGTCCAGCATAGTTTTTTAACCTATTTCGAGTATGCTGAATCCGAAAAAATATGCTGGCCTTCATGTAAATGGCGTTAAAGAGGTCAAAATGGCGATTCAAAATGGCGGACATCCAATTTTTCTAATTTTCTTTAAATATCGTTCAAAAAGGAGAAATAATGTGTGAATATCTCACTGAGTGTAATTCAAGTATAAAAATAAAAACAGAATGCTAACATTGTTAGTTTAACTCAGAAAATTTAGTCGTTTCTACACTTAATTCGAATTTTCTCTGATTTTTTGGTCTATTGTTGTTTATTCCGCTTTGTTCAGGATTTTACATTTACAAATATCCATACACTGCAGATTTGTAATTTTTCTTCTGCATCTCACTATTCTACAACTGAATGATGGCACAGCTGTAAGTTAAAAGTCTTAATGGCGATTCAAAATGGCGGATATATATTCATCATTTTTTAATTTTAAATTATTTCTTAATGTCGTTTACATAGGAGAAAGGAATTGTGTATATCTTACTGAGCGTATTACAACTATGTAAAATGCCAACAGAACACTTATTTGATCACTTTCAATCGGAAAATTTAGTCGTTTAAATTTGAAATGTGTTAATCAATTAGCTCAAAATGGCGATTCAAAATGACGTCTGATACAATCGAATTTCGTAGAAACTGCTTAATTCTGGTTCGTTTTGCAGAAAATACATTACAGTTTGTTTTATATATATATATATATATATATATATATATATATATATATATATATATATATATATATATATATATATATATATATATATAGAATATATAGTATATTGATAAGTCCATTCATTATGAACAAAATACTTGAAAAGGTTCATTTCTTCTGGATTTAGTTAAAACAAACTCGACTTAAGAGTTTCCAAATCCTGTCATTATCAACTCGCACTTTTACCTCAACATCCCTTGGCACACCACCTAATAACTGAAGAAATTCTTGACCGATTTCATTAAACACTTTGTTCTAGCTTTTTAGCACTTATGACAACTTAGTATTAACCTCTAACATCTCCTATTCCAGATTTATTTGATATATGTTTCAGTCTGTCATCGGAAGTTTGGTATTTTCAACACTCAAGTAAAATGGTGTCCCGGGTCAAGGATGATAACCCCCTTGGCATGTAAGAGATCGTTTCTCTGGAGTTCGAAAAAGAGTAAGCTCACTGGGGGCCGCCAGAGAAACCAAAATCCTTCTTAAACCGATTATTTAAACTGATAGTCCGCCAAAACATGGCTGAAAAATTGCAGACTCGGCGTTAAACAATATACAATCAATCAACCAACACTCAAGGATTAACACATTTATGTTCAAATGTTAAAAGTCTATTTTGTTTTCCAAAACCGTATGCAAAATGAACTAGAATACTGAGAGCAATTAGCTCACTAAGTGATACCTCGGTCTCCCATTTGAATATAATGACAGTGTCCATGTTTTGCTTTGGGAAACCAAAAATATGTGTCGGATCAAAAAGTAAAATAGGAGGTCACAATGGTAATATTAGCTGCAGAACTGTAGCTCTCCGGAAAAATATATAGTGACAGACCGGAGAGCTACAGTGCCACCCATTGAAAAAATTGCGCACAAAAAAGTGCGCTCGGTTCTGGATTATTTCTTGCAAATTCTTACCTCAATTGCAAAAAAGCTAGATTTCAAAAAAGTCACTACTCCTATACCAGTTAATCTCGTAGTTTACATCGGTACGAAGCGCATTGGACCGAATCATCTTGCAAACCAAAAATGGCAGTATAAACAGGCGAAATTTACGACGATCTCAATTTAAGGTCCAGGAGGGCTATGAAAAACGATTGTAAGGAATGTTTTGTTCTGGAAACAGTGGAAGAATGTGTTAGGAACACTTGGTTAGTAATATTTTGAGATGACAGTCTTAAAAAATAAATCGAGAAACAGCGCACATTTTCGTGCGCAATAGATATACAGTTTTTTCAATGGGTGGCACTGTAGCTCTCCGGTCTGTCAATATAAATTTTCGGAGAGCTACAGTTCTGCAGCTATGGCAATATAATGTAATAAAGATTCTGTGAAAGTTTCATCAAATTTCATTCAGTGGTATTAGAGGAGTTGCGAATAAGAGATGGATACCTCAAAGCGTAACAGACGGACGGACATACACCGATTAGTCTGTACCGATTGCTGTTTACCCTCCCGCTTTTCAAGCGGGATTATTAAAAAAATCTCTGATATTCAAGACATGTAGCTTTTTATTTTGTGACCTCGTATAGCTTTTGTTGTCTTTTAGAGTAGAAAGGACATTCTATTAGCAAAAAATTCTCAAACTTGATCATCTGAAATGACATTGTGTGCATATTTTGGTGAGAAAAGTTGTAAAATTATGCAATTTAAGAGCGCCTGCAGATTCCTCGTGATTCCTATCACTTACAAGCTTTCATATCATTAGACCTAAGCAATTCCTGATTTCGATCTAGTCAACACTTCTCTTGAAAACAAAATTTTTTTGAACACTTCAAGAACTTTACAAGGGAACTTGATCCACACTTCTTTGTCAGGATAGTGTAAGGTTTATCAAGAATCGAGGGGGGATTGAACACAAACATTTTCTTCTTTCAGATTTTTGTAAATTTCAAAATTTTTAAATTTATATACACTATTCAATACAAAATTATCCGTTCACAGCATGAAATATTTTAGAATGCAGTTTTATTTTTGACTGAGAGTAACAAAATGCAAATGAAGGGATACACAATCAGAGCTGGACAATCAAGAAAATTTATGGTTTACGTATATTATGCTGATAATTCTTAATATATATGTTTATATTTGGATATCATAATATATTCAAATTTATAATATGTAACAATTACTAGCCCTATAATTGATCGTGGTCAATCATTTTAAAAATCATACTAAGTTATGTAACACTACATCTGAACATTTATTAAACTTTTTTTCCTACACTGGACTAAAAATAGATCAAGAATTTCCAACAACTGAATGTTAACTCGCCTTAATGCTCGGGGAATAGTGCTCTTGGGGTAGTTTAATTTTCATATTGTCCTCAAAACAGCAATTATTGTGTGATATTATTTACTTTTTATATGAAGAAGCATGGTGAGACAGATAAAAGGTAAAATGTCTTCGGAATTGTCGTCAAAAATCTATCTTATCAATAGAAGTAATTAAACAAAAATCCGTGTTTTAAAAATCCTAAGTCATTAACAAAAATATCCCTCAACTTTCATTGCATATTTGAACATTATTTCATGAATTAAAAAAAACAAAATGTAATTTATTTTCTGCAAAACGAACCAGAATTGAGCAGTTTGGGTATTTTACTAAATTTGAGTGTATAAGACGTCATTTGAATTGCCAATTTGAGCTAATTAACACATTTCAAATTAAACGACTAAATTGTCCGATTTTAAGTGATCAAATAAGTGTTCTATTGTCATTTTACATAGTTGTAATACGCTCAGTAAAATATTCACAAATCCTTTCTCCTATATAAACGACATTAAGAATGAAATAATTTGAAGAAAAAGATGAATATCCGCCATTTTGAATCGCCATTTTGACTTTTAACTTACAGTTGCACTATCACTCAATTGTAGAATAGTGAGATGTAGAGGGAAAAATATAAATCTGCAGTGAATGGATATTTGCAAATGTAAAATCCTGAACAAAGAAGAATATAGAAACAATAGACAAAAAAATCAGAGAAAATTGGAATTAAGTGTAGAAACGACTAAATTTTCTGAGTTTAACTAACAATTTTAGCATCCTATTATAATTTTTATACTTTTATTACACCCAGTTAGATATTCACTCATTACATCTCCATTTTGAACGATATTAAGAGAAAATTTGAAATCCGCCATTTTGAATCGCCATTTTGACCTCTTTAACGCCATTTTCATGAAGGCCAGCATATTTTTTCGGATTCAGCATACTAGAAATAGGTTAAAAAACTATGCTGGACCAAATAATAATTATTTGCCGTTAGAAGTTATTTCTAGCCTTCTTTTTAAAAATCAGGACCAGACTATCTGAGCCTAATATAAAATTTCTCTCCATAGAAAGTGGTAACAGTTTATCTCTGATAACATACTGTTGGAATACTAGACAGGAAATGGTATTTCTGATACAAGTGAAGTTTATTAATTAAGACAGAACACCTGTAATTCTCCCTGTGTGTTACTTACCAGGTATACCCATCAGGCTCCTGACCTTAGAGCAGGTCTTGGCATACTCACACGGCCGAATCACAACACTACCCAAGATGGTCTCACTTGGACTGTTCTTTTCTTTCATCACTGATTAAAAGAGAATGAAAAAGTCTTACTTTTCTAAGGAAGTGAAACATGGTTTTTGTAGTGTTAGAGGCATATGTGACATTTGATTTCCTATTATTCTTGGTTTGTAAACATATACAGTGAAAATGATGTGTGTTTTTTTTTTTCTTAACACATCTAGTAATCCATCATAAATGATGCCACTTCCCATGCAAGAAATTAAGTCCTTCATTTAAATTTTGATCTACCTTTTTTCCATGTAAAAGTCCTGCACTTGTAATGATTTGTACTGAATATCTCTTAAACCATTTATAATTAAACTGGATCACTTTATCCAGTTCTCGTTCTTCCCAAGAAATCCCCCACCTTCTTCAATGTCTTCCTTCTCTGCTTTCTCCTTATCTTTATGTTTTGGTTCGGGAGATTCACTGCTGTCCACATTTGGAACTACTGTCACCTGAAACACCAGCATTAAGTTATAAGAAGAATTCCCATGTATATACCTGCATGTGTATAGATATATTTTCTTTAAATCTTGTAAGTGCAAATATGAAAAAGATTTAACTGACATTGTGGGAAAATCTTCAAAAGTTTTCTGTCCAAAATAGTGAGCTACTGAATCAATGAGTAAACTTGTTCTTAATGGATTTTTTTTTAAACTAGCTGTTCTGCCCTTCTTGCTATTTTACCTTGTCGCATTTCCCATAAAGATCCACCACTCCATAACAGGAGCCTGGTACGTCCCTGGCAGCTACACCCTGATCCACGCCATTGAAAAACAGGTGAAGATTGGACTCTTCATCAACCATTATCCCAATCACATGACCTACTTGTAGCTCATCTAGATTTGGACCATAATTCTCTTTTACCTACAACATCCAAAATGAGACGACTTCAATAAATATAAAAAAAAATTATCAAACAGAAAACATCATCTTTATTTTTGCCTAAAATTAACCTTGTTCTGAAAAATTTTCATCACAACCAGATTTTTACCAAATAAACTGAACAGTCTGACAGAAGATAGAAAGAAAAAACTTCAAATTCAAGATGACTAATTAGCAAAATGAATTTATTATGGAGCCAATCTTAAAATTTATATTTTCTAATGAGCCATCATAAATTTGAAGTTTTTATTCTTTTTATCTTCTGTCAGACTTACAGTCCTATAAGAGAAAGCTTTCTGAATCTCTCTCTCTCTCTCTCTCTCTACAAAATAGAACTTGCCTTGCACCCCGAGTTGTACACCGCGCTACCCTGGATCATGATACAGGACTTCTTTATAGACATGGAGGAGACCGGGAAGGTGTACTTATCTGGAGGGAATCCCAGCACACCAATCATCAGAGAGAAGCTCCAGCGGGGAGTCAGGTGTCCAACCCGCACCTGTGTAAAGTCAAACGAGTTTCATCATAAATTTACCAGTCATTATTATCAGCAAGGTACACAACATGCAAGAAGGGAGATTTCAGTATCCCACGAATCTGAATTTTGCATTTCAAAGGCTCAGAATGCTTTACTTATAGAATGATATCGCTAGTCAGTTATGGTATCAAAAAGTATTAGTACTTGACATATATCTCAATGGTGAATGTATGGCAATACCTGGAACATTTGGTTTTTGTGTAGTGGTTGACTTGTGACAATCAGTCCCTGGTTGTAACTTTCCGTTCTCTCTGCTGTCAGTCCACCATTACTCAACATGATATTTTTACCGTGGTTGACATGGAATCCTAGCGTATTGGGGTATTCCTCCTCTGTATCTAGGTCTGCGGCCTCGGCTAACTCTGACATGACCGACTGAGACTGCTGACTAGCCATCAAAGAGGCGTCCCAGGAACAACTACTGGTGATCGAGATCATCTCCACTGGACCGTAAAGGTCAATCACCACGAACACGTTCTTAGGGATGTTGGAGGCTGCCACCCCCATATCCTCCCCGTTAATGTACAGATGAAGTGTACCGTCCGAGACTCGACGAATGCCCACGAGATTCCCAACCTGTAACAAGCAGAAAAATAAGCTACAGATAGCCAAATCCTACTTACATAATAAAATACACCAAATCAAATATTAGATTTTAATTTCATACATGAAATTTCATACAGTGCTTAATATTTTATGTACAGAAGACCTAATATTCCATGGAATACTAAAGATGGCTTTATAGTTTATATTCTACACAATCTGTTCACAATTTTCAATAATTAAATGCAGTGACCTCCCTTAAACCAATGGGAATTTTACCTCAAGTCTCTCTAGAGCTGGTGCGTAATTCTCCTTGATAACAAATCCGTTCCTGACCTCTGACCCCGTTATTAGCCAGGTCAGTTTAGAGGTCATTTCTAGGGCAGATGCTGGGATGACGGAGGATGAGGTGGTGTCTGATATGGCCAGAGTGGTCAGTCCAATGTGTAGTGACCCTGACCACACTCGACATACCTGGTCAATTCTCACCTGTAAACAATATAGGTAAACTTATTTAAAAGAATGTAGTGTACATTTGTAGCAAAATACCTAGCAAAAAATGTACAATGTCTCTACATGTACATGTATTAATAAAAATTTTCACATCTTGGAAATTCCCCCTAAAAGAAAATTTTGAGTCAAGAGCAAATTTAATTATTACAATACTATTATTTATACAAGATATAAATGATCTGTCGTCTAATAAACTTTACAGAAACTCAGTTAAACTAAGGTTTTACCTCAAACATCTCATCCCTCTTCAGAGGATCAGAACTAAACACAATGGCATTATTGTAGCCTGTAGACCGAGCTGTTGTACAACTATTGTTCTTTATTGTAATGTTTTTACCACAACACAAACTGAATCGATGAGACACCTCTGAAACAATTAGAAAGAGAATACATCAGAAAATTTTTACCACTAAATATAAAGTTTGACAAATGAACTGTAAAACAAGGGACATTGATCAGTGCTTGATCTAGGAGATGACATTATATAAATGGTGCCTGTTTTGTAGGGTAACATTTGAAATTGACACCCCAAGGAAAACCGTTGTCAACCGACCCGTCAGTGGAGGTTGACAATGGTTTTCCGAAGGGTTAGTCAATTTCAAATGTTACCCTACAAAACAGGCACCATTTATTTTATTATACTGAATGTCTTATTGATTTAGGACGTCAGCAAAAAAAACCGTCGATCGTCTTTACGTTCATGTATAGAAAGCTTTCACACTCACCGGTTCACTTATCTCCTTACTGTTTGTTTGATACTCGAATTAGAGTCATTTATCATATAAAGTTTCGTTATTTTTGGCTCGCAAGCATGTTTCCTTCACTCGTGAATGTAAGAGATTATTGTCTGCAGATGGATACACTCCTGATCCACTGGTGATCGAAACCTGAGCACACTGTCCATATAGGTCTATTACAGCGTACACACCTAAAAACAAATACAGGAAATTATGTATTGCAAGTGGAAACAAAACTATAAAGTACTAAAAAGCATAAAGAAAAATAGTCTTACCTACAAACTAGATTTCCCCTGTAAAACTACGTGACCAAGTGATTTGACTTACCATGTGGGA